AAAAGTGATATTTTCGACTTCTTGTTAAAAACCGCAAGTCTGATTGCTTTTATATTACATATATAGGTATTACATGTGGACCTTGTTAATTTCGTGGTGATATCTTCAATCACTTAATTTTGATGATTATTTTTGTCATTTGTGGTGAAAAGTGATATTTTTGAATTCTTGTTGAAAACAGCAAGGTCTGTTGCTTTGATACAATGTACTATACATATTGTTCATTTTCTAATGATATCTTCTGTTCTTTAATTGAAATGTGCATTGCTAACAGCGGAGCTATCTCAGCCGACAGGCTGCGTGTTTAAAAAATATAGTATGTTTTCTGCATAAAATAAAAATTTGTTGGTCATTTTTAATATTGAGTTTATTAGATGCAATATTTTTTTTTCCTCTACAGTGTTTGTGAATGAATTTTTAGACATCTTAGAAGAAAAAATGGACAGGTAAGTTTGAAAAGTATGAAATACAATGGCACAGAAAAAAAAGTACTAGTACTAATGATGACTATGCTTATGTAAAAGGACGCCACCTAGAGACATAAACTGGACTGTAGATGGCAGTAGTTAATACTATTCATTGTAATTTTTTCAGTTTTCAGTGCTTGTTCTGTGAGAAGACATTTAAAGACAGGTCAGTTCTGAAGGATCACATGAGAAAGAAACAACACAAAAGAATAAATCCCAAGAACACAATGTATGATAAATATTACATTATAAATTATTTAGAATTGGGTAAAAATTGGGAAGAAGTTCAAGCGGAGGATGATACAGATCTTCCAGCTCCTGCTACTCAGTCTGATAATGATGAGTAAGTGAAATTCATTTTGTTTTTTACTCCTGTGTGCGAAGCACAAAATGTCTTTGCAGTTAGCCCGTGTGTATCTGTGTCCATCTTTTTCACTGATATCTCAAGAACGACATGTTGGTTTTTGATGAAACTTGATGCATAGATGCTCTGATTAGGTTTTGGTTAAAATCCGTGCTTATTAATTACCTAATTCACATAATAATCAATAAAATATCAAGTCATCATATATGGTCATTATTTCATTAAATATTTATAATTGATAAACCTTAGCGACTTGGAACCCCCAGATCATTGCTTGCAGTTATATTTTTAAATGCTGTATTTGCTCTAATAGAAGCACATGTGCTAACTTCATTCCTCAAATACTGTGAAATACTTTATTTTCGCTGAAAAGGGTTTTGGGGAGTTTGCTTGGAATTTATTTTTTCGAAAATAGCGAAAATAAATTCCAAGCGGAAATAAAGTATTCCACAGTACCTTCAGCACATGGGAGTTCTTTCTAAGCTTTCTTTGATTATTTTTCACTTTAATTTTCAACTTACTGGCAATATTTGGATATCAAAGTATAACAAAGAATAACAAACCTGTTCACAAATTATTCAAAGCGTGTGTATGTCACCGTAGTTCATTAGATTAAGTGCATGACCAAAATCCTGTTTTCACATTTTGATAAATCATAGGCATGTTTAATAACAGGGTATATCAAACACTTTCACTAAACGAATATTTAATGTACTCGGTGTCAATTTCTGTGAACATGAATAACATGTGCATATTGTGAACAAAACTGAAACTGTTCACTCCTCGCTGAATAACACCTGTGGCTTGGCTGATATAACATTATTACATGACAGCCTGAGATGGTTATGACATTGATGATGTAAATATATAAAATAAATGTGATCAATTCATGAAACTGGGAATTGGACATGCATGTTCATGCTAGCGCCCTCTATTGCTCTCTGTAACATCCAATATTTATGGATTGTTTTCCATTAATACATGCGCGGTTATTTCACTTGTTTATAGTCATTGGGAAGACTGGGAGGAGAAGAGTGGAGCCTCGGCATTCTGTTTATTTTGCGATTACAGCTCAACTGACATTGATAAATTACTGGGTCACATGAGTGAGTCACATGACTTTGATTTGACTCAGATTAAAGAAGAGCAAGGTGAGTCTGTGATGAGGAAATGTAAATAAGATAGTTTGATTGAATGGATGACGAGTCATTTGAGATGGAGGATACATGTCTTTAGGAGTAGCTAAAACACAAAAGCATGTGAGATCAAACGAAATGACAGTGTGTCACAGTGACATCGGTGAAATTTAGTCATTCTTAACCCTTTTATCACCAGACTCTCTCACCTCAAGTTTTTCGGCACTTTTCTTCAATATTTCTGGAAATGGACCCTAATTTTGGAACAACAGACAAATTTGAGTCAATTTCCAGTTTTTATTCAAAAAACTTGGATATTTTTTCCCAGTCTTCTTTACAAGGAAAGAAAGTACACATTGTAAACGGGAGTACTTTGCGAGATTGTGATGAAAAGAGGTCACTGGTGGTGAAAAGGTTAATGGCCACAAATTATCAAATCTCAAATATGTCTTGTGTTTTCACAGTATTTTTTTTCTTCTCTGTATTACCAGGTCTGAATTTCTACCAGCAGGTGAAGCTGCTGAACTATATACGACGTCAAGTACATCAAAACGTTTGTCTATCTTGCCAGCGTAAATTTGACGATAAAGCCACTATGGTGGAACATCTGAAAAAGGAGAATCATGTTAAACAACTACCACCAGCGGATACATGGGACCAGCCGCAGTGAGTGTTCTAGTCAATGTTCCATTTATAGATAAACAACCTAAACTCATTTCACTGCGGTTGATTTATTATGATAAATTTGACGAAGGAAATGAACGTACTTGATCTGCGCCCATATTCAGAAGTCTTTCAATTAATTAAATTAAATCTTGTGTATGTTAAAATAAATGTGTAATTGAATTCATATAATCAAATATGTCACGTTATAGCAAGAAAAACACCCAATAAAATGTTGATATGCAATAATTCATACTATGTATATGCACCAATTCTTTTTTTCCTTCTATATCTAGGTATTACTTCCCGACTTATGAAAATGATGCATTGCTTTGCCTGTTAACTGATGAGGATACCGAGTTATCTGGTCAAGTTGTTGTACCAGAAGATGCTCCACACATTGATAGTAGTATACTACAACAACTTGATGTGAAAACACTACTGAAGTAGTGTTCAATAGCAGCGTACATATGAAGCAAAAGTGGAAAAATGATTCATCATCATATCAATTCTATTCTTACCAATCTAAATTCATGGTAAATAATTTTGATCAAATAGCTTGGTTTGTAAGATTGACAGAATGTGACATTCCTGCTTAAACTCTATTAATTCAACAAACAGGCTTTTCTATTATGTTCAGTGGAGCAAGCATTAACCAATACAATTGATATCAACCTACTGTAAAATACTTATTATTTTCGCTTGGAATTAGGAGTGATTCCGTGAAAATAAAATCCAGTGAATATACCTTTTTTCCTTTATTTTACATTAAACTCACTAAAAATCAGTGAAAATAAATTCTATATAAAACACCCAAAATGTCTTTCAGTGAAAATTAATTCCAGCTAAAGTAAAGTATTTTACAGTATCTCATTTTTTTTTTACCATTGACTCTCCTTGTTTTTCTTTGATTAGAACCATTACTTAAGGACTTGATTGTTTTTTTGTTTTTTTTTCATCTTCATCTTTACCAAGCCCAGACAAAAAAGTTTCTGGTAATTTTTGTTTTTCAAAAAAATTGGATGCAAGTTTTTTTAATTTGTGCTTTTCTTAATTTTTGTTTTTAACAGATTCTCATGATGACTAGAAAAATTTATATATTTTTGTTTCAGAACCTAGCAGTGAAATCTGCCTAAACTGAATACCTAACGGTATTCAGACCACAAAATTGTATAAAAACTTCTATAAAACCAAACATCTCCGTAGTACCAAGTTACTTATCAATTTCTGTAGCCAATTTAAAAATTATTTATTTTATCCAAGATTATCAAAAATTTTTTTTAAATATTGCATAATATTAAAAATGTTGCAACATTTTGGGGGAAAATTTATAGCATTTAAAGGTAGTTAGCTACCATCATGAATTATTGCTTATGATGAAACAAAATCGTATTTTGTTACAAGATGGATATAGGTACAAAAATGTACTTATATTTCTCCCAAATTATTGGGAATATTATTCATTTTTTATGGTAACGTGACTATTTTTGCATGTTTTCAGACAGTTTCTCTCTGAGAAAACTATTTAATACTGGGGAATAAATCCTGAAAGTCAATGAATATTTTACACATTTAAAACACACAAGAAAAGATGATAATTTCTTTTGTTGATGTTTTACGAGGCCTAAATAAATCTATGCTTGCTTGCATACAATTACCAAATAACAAAAAAATACAGAAGTATTTTACAAAGTGATAAAAGTTATTTTATTCACTATAAGACTTACACTAAAAAATTTACAAAAAATCTTTTGCTTGAAAAATTGTAAAATTTAAGAAAAATCACAAATAAATGTGCATTTGTTATTTATCACTCTGTGTGGTGTTCAATATGAGTCTTGCACAATGGATACAACATATATTTAAATGTGCACTGCATGGCTGTGGCAATTTAAATATAATTTCACACGAAACTATTTAAGGCACATTGGTACGAAAATATTGAGTTGTTTAAAAGAGTGTCTTATTAATGATATGAGAATTATTTGTTTAAAGCTTTTAACAATAAAATGGAACACAATGACAGCAACACAAATTTTACTTTACATGGTTGAATTGCCAAATGTTAATATGCATATAAAAGCATGAGCAGCTTATGTGTTAAAGGAACACTTGTACATTGTTTGGCGTAGTTTTTCAATCCATGTAAAACGAGTATTAATGTTGTATATATATGACATCTTATAGCGTACAGATAGCTAGAAATTAAATTTAATTGTAACAAAAATGAATAATCACCAGTCTGCTGTTTACACGTTTTTTTTTGCCTGTACATTTCACCCTGCGTGTTCAATGTACTACAAGCTCAGTATACATGAAATAAAAAAATATGAATATAGCTTACGTCCCTTTATGCTGCAATCATCAAAAGGGCTTTGTGTTTTGTACATTTCATGTGAAAACTAATTAAACATAATCATGAATCAAATTAAGAAGAATCTCCTGCAATAAGGTGGCTTTGATTGGACATCACAAATTTATTTGTGTCCAGTGCAGGTTAATTTTTTGCCAAAACCAACTGATTTTATCATTTTTCATAGAGATTGAAATATTCAGTGGGAGGGTTTCCAGTAAATAATACTAAGTGGGGAATATTTCACAAAATGAATCCTAATTTTGGAGCCAATGGACAATATTTGAGTCGATTTTCAGTTTTTGCTTTTGGCTGTTTTTGTCCCAATCTTCTGAAGAAAAGTTCAGACTATAAGTAGGATTATTTTGTGAATTTGTGATGAAAAGAGGGAACTGGGGATGAAAGGGTTAAGCATCACACGGTGCATATGCTTAAAGATGAACCTAAATGTAAAGATTTTGGTTTTCTTAATGTACAACAATTATGTACACTGTAGATTGGTATAAACAAAGTATTGTGGGTAATCTGTTTTATATCCCAGAAATCTGGTGTGCACACTTGGTTGTAAATGTTGAAAATGGTAAATATGTTTTAAGTTTAAATACGGACGGTGCAAACAAATTCAACTGCTCAAGTGATTTAACAACTAGAATTCTATTTTTCAGTGACTGCATTTCTCTAATATACTACTGAGGTAGTGAAAATAATCATTGCACAATCTGTGTAACTATGCCTACCTGTACATGGCCCCAGGGTGCATATAATCTACAATGCCACATGGCTAGGAGCAGTACTCTCTGTCTTAGATGTATATTCTGTACACATGATCTCTAAAGACGTCTTTGGCCATATTCATCTCAGCTTTAAGGACGGAGCTTAATTTCTTTTATAAAAATTTGATTACAATCCATATTTGTTTTGTTTTGAACCCAAATAAAAATACATTTGTAAAAGACTGAAAACAGTTCTCTAAAAAAGACAAAGTGGTGACCCACACAATAATAAAAGTAAATTCAATGTGAAAGTTCTGGAAGTCTCTTTGTGTTCAAACTGGTTTAAAATATAAATAATGTACATGATAGGAAACTTGTGATGTCAAAAAGACGGATGAATACAATGTCCATGGTAAGGGACAACGTCAAAATATCGATGTCGGATAAAAAACTTAAATAAATATTGGTCATGGCGTCAGACTAAATTCACCATTAAATACAAATTGATAATCAGACAGTAGTATGGCATAGCAGTTGGTTGTCGGGTGGGTGTAAAAAGACTTTACAAATGCACCTCATTTGACGCACATATTTACACTCTGACCAAACCATTTTCTCGTCTTGGATGTTTTGTTTTTTTTCATTTCTTGTTATTTCTGTCCATGATTGGATAGAAAAAAAAACGAACTACAAATAGATTTTTTTTACTTTATTAAAAAATAAAATCGTTTTTATAGGATGGAAACTTTTTGAGGTCAAACCCCCCACCCCCAAACTAAAGCAAATAAGTTTTTTATCTGACATCGATCTTTTGACATCATCCCTAAATGAATTTAACATTGACTCATATACATGTAGTATATAATGGTATAAGCAGAGTTGTGTAAAATATTACATTTTTCATTTGACACGCAGGCACTCATTTCTGATTGTATTATATCATTAGTGGAAAACAAATATGTATGCCTTCAGAACACCACATGGATTATATGTATCAAAGTTTTGACATGGCATAAATATAATTACCTACAAAATACATACAAGTACAGCTGCAAATTTCCAATTAAAATATTTTTTTATTTCAACCAAATATTTCATTTGGATCGTCCTAACTGTACACAGTACCTAAAAATGTATGTAAAGCAAATGCTTTTTACTAGGTAAATTCTACATGTGTACTTGTTTATCCCAAAAGACCTTAATTCCCTTGGGCCCCTATAGTGTTTGATTTAGATATTTTCTCTGTACATTTATTTATAACTTCTTAAATATTAAAATAAATCTGACAAATATAAAATGGACGGAACTGTTATGTACATACGTTTGCACTCTTTAATTCAAATACAAAATAATTTCTCCACAAATATTGTACTTTCTAAAAAGTAGTTTTTGGTGAATGTTCCTCATCTTTGGTTGTTTCACTGGCCTTTGGTGACATTCTGTGTGGCTTTCCCTAAAGCTACTTGTCTGGCGTTTGATCCAAATGACAATGAGCTAATGCTCTCGCTGATATTCTCCGCATCGGGACTGACGTTCACAAATAAACACGCCTACAAAACATAATCCAATACAACATGACAAGTTTAAAAAGAATTGACAAACAATTATTTTGGACACAAGAAATTGATAACGACAGCAACAATTATGGTAGATGCAGTAACAACTACATTGTACATAGCACTTTCGATATACAAACGTGATAAAGACCACAACACAGACCATAAGTTTTTGTACAAACTCTACTGGGTTAACAATTGTCTCTGAACTAACATAATATCTCAATGTTGAGTAATATTACACATAATTATATGAATAGTATATAGCATATAAATGTATTAAATATTACAGAAATATTATACAGACCTTAGCATCGCCACTTAATGACGACTGTAATAGGTGGGTTAGTTTAGAATTCCGATACGGCACATGTAAAGCATTGGTACGTAATGAAGTAAACACCTGAAGAAAATGTGAAGAAAAACATAAAATTTTTACTGCTGTATAAGAAAAATGATAATTGTATATATACAAGTCATATTTCATTACTCATGAACACAAGAACAAGAAAGTTGTTTCCTGATGGGCTTACTAATTAGGGCTTAAGGGGCCTACTGATAACAAGCCACTTAACTCACTCAGTAATGATAGCATGACAACTAACTGCTAACACTGGTAGAATTTGAATAAAAATATACTTGTTTTACTCTTCTCTCACCTGCCCTAATGAAGTCAGCGACTTGTTGATTGCAGCGGCTTCTACAAGCGTCTGTCCAGTGGCTCCAGTTTTAGCAATTCTTTCAGACCCAGCAAGATCTACTAGTGTCAGTGATCCGTACGACGTAGCGTTTGAAACAGTGTCAACGCCCTCCACAAATATCATCAATAATAAATGTGAACGAGAACTGTAATAGGAATAGGAATTATAAAATCATGTGATTGCTGGAAATTATTATTGCAAAAAATGCAATTCAGATCAAATTGAAGATGAAATGCATTTCATCTTAGATTGCAATTTCTATGAAGTGGAGAAAAAACATGACTTGAGGTATTTTAAAATAAAAATTAATGAGTTGTCCAGAATGGAAAGCTTTGTGAAAATAATGGGAAATAATATGGCTTTGTGATATTATTTAAAAACAATTTCCTAAAAGTTAAATATGTAACTGTGGTCTGGGAGAACCTTGCTGCTGTTTAATCAATTTTTCAGAGATTTTCTAATTTTTATTTCTTTCTTTTGTTGAATTTCAGTGTATTTTAATTTTAGTGTTTTAGTGTGTCTTATTTTATTTGTCTTTTGTAATCATTTTTTACCTTACTAAACCCACAGATGGTTAAGTTGCGTAATAAAGTTATTAAAGTTATTATATTTAATGTAGTTTATTAATTGGTTATAGTGCATCATAACAATAATAACATCATAACAGAAATTGGTGCATGTTAATTATGCAAATTTCACAATTATTCATCCATACATTGTTTGTTTATATCTGACTATGTTCACAATTTTTTTTAATAAAATTAAATGAATATCAACTTTTTAGAAAGAAATGTTTTTTGTAAAGACGATCCTAAGTCACAATCCAAAGCCATAAACTTTCATGGTTTTCTCCAAATTCACAAAAGTCTGTCTTGTAAAATAAAATCTGTTACCATATATGCAAACAAGTCTTTTCACCAGCTTTAGTGAGAACCAGAAAGCTAAATGTTTGCTTTACCTTGTTGAGTTCATTTTGGTGGCAGCAGTTGTTCTATTGGCATCACCTTTGGCCATTACAGCTTGAATATCATCAACGTTCCTCACAACAACGTCAGTCAGACCTTGCACTAGTAGTCTTTTACCTTGCATTCTGATATCCAGATTAGGACTGTCTTTGTCTGTTAGTAAGTCTTGTAGGTTCTCATTATAAACTTCTAGTAACGAGACCTGAAGAAAAACAAAACTTCATTCAGCAAATGTTTAACAAAGATTTGTCTATGTTTTTGAATTAATAATATACATTTGTCACTGTAACTGTGGTAATTTTGCGATGTTGCACTGGGTATTTTCATTCTACTATATTAGGAAACGCAAATTCCAAATAAAGAACAATTATGCGCATGCGTGTT